GAAAATTTAAATGGCGCGAGGGAGAATCGTCTTTTTTTTTTTCGGGGAATGTCTAGGTGTCCGCAACGATGTTCTTCAAGATGATTACCGCGTTCCGAATTTAACTTCCGCCACCACCTCTCTCGCCGAGGGAGCATCGGTATATACTATTCCCAGAAGCGAAGGAAAGAATCGCGTCGTTAGATAAATGGGACGTTTTATCTGGAATTACGACTTTTTATTTGAGCTCCGATTACAGCCCGAGACGCTTCTCACAAAAGGGATGAAGCGATTTCAGTGTCTTCGGATCAACGTCGGACGATTTGTATTGCAATGATATAAGTTTTTCTCAAGCGATCGTTTTTTTTTTTTTTTCACGAAAGAATACATCTCTCTCGGTTAAAAATAATTAATAAAACTAACACAAGCACTTTGTCGAAGTGAACATCGGATCTTTGCTTGCAAGTACATGTGGTTTTTCTAACTAGATCGCGTACGTGCACACATTTATTGGATTATCTATGTTTTGGGTTATTAAAAATTTCACCCTGTTTGTTTTGTTTTATATTTTTATCTAATCCACACGGTTCGTTTACATCATATTCTTTTTACTTGCGGTTATCGAAATTGGCTGAAACTCTTTCTCGACGGGGGAGAGGGTATTACATTGACTATATTATCAAAGTTATATCCGCGTATTCGCCGGATCGGAAGTAACTTTAAACGCGATGCCGTGATAGAGATATTTTACGTCGTGAAACACGACGAGAGATGCGGCATCCTGATGACGAGGTGAAAAACGAATAAACGAACGAAGCGCCGGCTCCCCTTCTACCGTCCTAACACGGTCATCCTAACCTCGTTAACTGACAGTACACTGTTTATACGGTAATCGTACGCGAAGCGAGAGAAACGAACAGAGGGAAAAAGAAGGGTGGACTGTGCCGTTATACCACCTTGCACGTCGAGGGCTCTTACGCGCTGTTTAACTTATCCATTTAAAACTCAAACACGCGAAACAATTAATTAGTAATTAACGCTAGTCGGTAGCCGGAGCAACGGAATAGAGAAGAAGAGAGAGAGAAAGGGAGAGAGAAAGAGAAAGAGGGAAAGAGAGAGAGAGAGAGAGAGACAGATCGACGGTTGCGCAGGTGGAAAGGGCGTTCTCTTCTCAAAGGATGGCCGTTCTACCACCCCCAAAAAGGAGATATTCAATGGGTAGCAGAGAGGAGGCTTCTGCAAGTGCAAGAAACTTTAAAGTTTCAAACTTTAACTCTGCTGTTAGCTTCTAATTAGCGGACAAACAGTCAGCTTCAAGATACAGGTATCGCCTCTATTGGTGGCCTACAGGGAAGAAATTGTAAACTACATGGTTACTCTCTTATAAACTTTTTACCTAATTACAACAGTATTTCTGTCACAATGTGTAATTAAATACACGTAGACACATCAAGAATTATTACACGCATAATATAAAAACACACATTGACACTACGCGATGGAAATTGTTTACTGCGTGAGAGAGAAAAAGCGGAATGTAACGCATTGTATATTATACTAGTTAGGGGAGTATAAAAAGTACAGCGTAACATTTGTCTTCAAGTTTTAATCTGCATTTATCCGAGAAAGTTAGAGAAAGTGTCGCATTTCTATTATTATTATTACTCTGGCATCTCCTTTTTGTTTCAGTCACGTGTTATTTGTATTTCGTTTTTTTCTTGTACTATATATATTACGAGAAAATTACTCCGAGGAAATAATAATTTTTCGCGCGATGTTTTTGATCGCACTTCCGATCGACAAATCGAAATCCGTTTTAGTTCGTGAGCTAAAACGCGTTTCCTTTTGCCCTGCGGTCTTCTTGCAGATTACCTGTCACTCCGCACTTGAATTAACCGCTACCTGTCGGGATTATGAAAACGTTAGCGTTACTGGCTGGGTCGCGTGAGTTCCGTAACACTTACTCACGAAACGACAAACGCACTCGCTCCGCAAATTTTGCATGGGCGGCAGTATCGGTTCTGAACGACGCGGCGGCAGGTCGCGAGTTGACCGAGAAGAGGGTTGCCTCGGGGGGAGGTAGGCGGGTTGGGTCACCGTTGGCGTGAGGGTTTCAATATGCTTCGGCGGTAGTTACAGTACCTTCTCCGGACCACCACAGATCGGTCTAGGCGGGTGAAAAGCAGGATGGGAGAGAGGGGGGAGGAATGGTGGCAGAGAGGAAGGAGGACTATCGTGCTGCGGTATCGGTCGCCTTGGTTATTTAGGAAACCATATCAAAGTTTGAGTTGGCTGCCTGCCGCTACTACGCACCCTCCTATCGGCGGCTCCGCTCCTGGACAATGAGGTCTCTTCCGGTCTCGTCGAGGTCGCCCTTGACGTTCGTTACAACGCCAAATAACGTCTGAAGCCACTGGAATGGCAGTGAGGTGTACGAGAAAATGTGTTATAGTAATTACGTTATAGTAATTTGATGATTAGAAATTGTTTTTGAGTTTTGGAAATAATTCGTCTATTTAACATACAAAGATGTTTTTTCGGGTTTGAACCGCGTTAGTGTCATTGTTATACCGCGCAAGCATCAAATATCAAATTCGTCTATTTGTTTCGTAATTAAACTAATTATTCAACAAAAATCTTCGTGTTGAAAATTTCAGTTTTGTCACTTTTTTTCTCGCGCACATATTTCGCCCTTTTGCAAAATACGTTTCCGTAATGATGTGTAAATGTATAGAGCTTATAAAGTAAGCAAATGGAGTTCAGTCTATATTGCGACTCTTGAGTTCGTGGATTTCTTGCGGCGACGTGGCGAGGACCAATAAAAGACGACATGTTATCGCAGTGAATTCAGTAGGACTGAGAAGAGGAGACGGTTCTTCTAGTTTCCTGCCAGGTCCGCGGGTTCTTCAGGAAGGGTCTAGAGATTTAATTAAGGCAAGGCGACGGGTAGAAAGACGAGTCGCTACGTCGTGTAAACTTGAGCTAACCCCCCGCTGGCCCCCCGTTTCACCCCGTCTTCCTATCTCTGTCTTTGAAACGAGTCAAGTCGGTCCCTCTTCTCCTCACCATTCGAGAGAATCTCTCACGAAAACTCGTGAGAACGCCGCACACGTCTAGAGCGTACATCTTCGGCCAAACGTGTGCGTCAAAGTTCGTCAGGTTGCTCGGATTTCCAACGCCAGAAATTCCCTTCAAGAGGCCTATGTCTTATTGCGACTTCGTAAATCTTGTCACACAACGTGAAGACTGGATTACCTAACCGATTTATTCGAATAAAGTAAAGAAATTCAAAACTCAGTGTATATTATTTTTTGTACACATTTATTTTATAACGTAAACATATTAAATTAAGAAAATTTATCGTGAAAAATTTGATACTTACAACAGAATATTTTAAAATATACACGCTCTCCATTTTATAGAACAGAGTAATTGTCGGCAAGATTGAAAAGTTTTCACAAGTTTTTATCGTTTCCTTTCCAAGTGTTACGTTTACCAGCTATATTTATTCAAAGTTCACTTTGAAACAGTACGCGGGCATCATCTGCCTCGCGGTTTTAGCGTCAATAATTTGCAAAGGCTGCAGGGCAGGTTCTAACCGACTGATTTCACGCATCTGGCGTTTGGTGGTTTAGTCAGGCCCGATCCGTGCTGGCTCCAGAGCGAGAGAGGATCAGCAAAAGACGTCGGGAAACAAGAGAGAAAGTGAGAGAAGACAGCTGGCAAGAGAGACGGAGACGAGAGAAAGCTGGAGTTAGAGGGCAAGGGGGTGGAGGTGGATGAAAGCAGAGGGCGAGTGCGGGCAGTCCCTGCCTCGCCGCCGTGGTGGTCCCGTGATCAATATTCCTTACCCCCTTTGCCTTGGCTTACCCCTCCGGTACGATACGGGTGCCCCTTACCTCGGAAAGACCCTCCTTCCATCCATACTCTCGCTACCTACCCCGTACCCCCTCGGGGGAGAACCCAGTAGAAACCCCTGAAACCCCTCTCGCACCCTCGTCTTAATTAGGAGTCTGAATCTGCGGCGGACACGCGTATAAGGGTAGGTCGGAGGAGGTCGAAAAGGGGTGGAGTGTGGGTGGATGGTTGGCAGTGGAGGCCGGGGTAAATCCGCAGACGAGCCTCGTGTCCGAGACATTATACACGACTTTGTTGCGATCGCTCGGTGTCAGGCTCTTATCAAGTCACCCTTTTCATTATTCCTTAAGATAAACCATATTTGTGCGCATCCTTATCTTTTCGCTACACGGAGTAAACACCGACTATAGAGGCTTGCGCTTTGTTTATTTTTCGAGGAAAAGAATTTCACTGACAACTTTATTGCTTTTTAACGCCTGAGTAGTCGAGCAACTTTTCGTACTTCTCACACAGATCTTCTCGGAAATTACTGTTTCTTCGCAAACTGATGCAGATTTAAAGAGTATTGAAGATTATCTTGGATCACATTTGTGAAAAAAGAGCGTTAAAGTAAAAATCGAGATTTTGTTAATATGAATAATTCCATTCCAGCTAATGTAGATTTTTAAGAAGCTTCAAGAGCACTACGCGCATCACGCGCGCACGGACAAGGAGGAAATTTACATGCATGGTACATACAGGGTAGTACATGGGAGGGTGGCGAGGCCTGAACCGTAGAGGATATTGGGGTTAGGCCATTCATTAGATTATGGGAATTCGGGGGTACCCATCGAAGGGAAAGGAGTAGAAGGGCTGGGGAAGCTTGGCTGCGCGATCAAGGAATACCCCACGTGCATTAGCTTGCGTCATAACGCGCGGCGAATGGATTGAAAGTGGATGAGGAGTATATTTTTACGATTTTCTTCTCGATCGTTTATTTGTTTACCGTAAAAAAATTTCTTGGAGGACATTCAAACTCTCTTTCACTCGTGTTTGCTGAATATCTTACTCACATGTGAAAAAAAAAATTAAGTGAATTTGTATTAAATCTTTTTATTTTTACAAATTAGAAGAAAAAAGAAAAATATTTCGTAGAAGTAATTGCTGTTTTTCTTCTATTACAGAGTCGTCCCTTACGAGGCGGGACTATCCCCGCCAAATCATGAACAAGGTAAAGTCAAATCGCACGACTTGCGTGAGTATGTGTAATTTTCTATTTTATTCTACACATTTAAAATTCTTTTTTTTTTCGTATTCTCTCTTTAAAAGTATATTATGTACGTCTTAATATTGCGTAAAAAAGAAACATCGTGTTGTAAACATAGATTTAGGTGTGCGTCTTTTATCGAAGCACAAGTCAGTTACTAGGGAGGATCGATCTAACACCTTTAATTGGTTTTCGTGTTCCGCGGCTCGTATTGCATGTTCGTATCTTTAGTTACCAACGTCTGCGCCTACCAATCAACACGCGCAAGGAAATGTTACGTACACGCGCGCTTCTACCTTATGTGCGCTATTACACGCAGTAAGATTTATAATGTATGTTTTTAGAAGAGAATAAATGCAACGCGTCGAGTTTAAAGCGTATACTTCTTGCCTTTTTTTTTTTTGTAAATTAAATTTAAAACATATTTGTCACGTCGAGAAAGTCGTTTATCTCTACCGTGGGGTAGTTACATGTACAACTGCTTACATGTATAACTTGAGCTTCATTTGTAGAGCTTTTATGTGCCGTCTGCTTTCCCTCATTATGCATTGCACATGAGAAAACTTGCTTGGAATCTCTCTCTCTCTCTCTCTCTCTCTCTCTCTCTTTCACTCACTTGCTCACTTACTCTATCGCGCTGGTTTTCCTCAGCCATCTTCGTGCCGGGGTGCCGAGCGCTACTACCCGCCTTCTCTTGGTTTTCTCCGCACATCGTTGCTCGCTTCGTACCTCGACTTCTTTATAAACTTTTAATGACGGCAAAGCCTAATCGAGAGAACGAGCGAACACATCGGGTACGAAACTACCCGAGAATATTGACGTTGGATTTCGATAGTTAACCAGTTTGCCGTCATTTTTTTTTTGGAAAACAATTTTCATACGCTTGTTTGCAATAACGCGATTGTAGATCACTGATTGATTATCGTGTTTATATCAATGATTATACGTTCATTGATATGAACACGCATTAATTGTTGTTTAATTGTAACTTCATTAATGACGTACGAGTATTTTTTTTCTCTCTTTCTATTCTCTGTTGTAAAATATTCATACAATCGATGCGTTCACACTCGGTAATTGTTAGCCGCAATACACAACATTGCATAATATATGTGGCGATAAATACGAGCAGGAAGTTGAAGTTCGAGCTTGCGCGCGAGCAGGGACGCTTTCGATTTGCAACAAATCATTCAACGTTTACGCTCGGCTGCCCGTCCAGTTGAATTAAACTTCTACCGAGAGAACTTCGTTCTCTCCCGCTTACCCTCCTTCTCTCCCACCCTCCTTTCAGAAACATACATATACACCGGGTATAGCTAACGGCCTGTACCTTGCTGCTCGAAGTTCGCTCCTAGTGCTTTCGTGCGAAAGCAGTTAGCTGTTTGACGTTGCGCTATGCTCGTTACGGACATGTCGGAATTAACGTGCCTACGCACGCTGTACGCGAGTCGAACGAGTTCACACGCGATAAATAATATTTGAGAGCGATACTTAAGATCGAATAAAGATGATGTGCAATTTTTTTTTTTTTTATGTAGGATATATCGCAAACATTTGTCAACAATTGTTAGATGAATGATAGGTGTACGCATGTACAATAACTACGATTGTTTAAACTGTAGAAAAAAAAAAAACTTACCACTCGAAATGTCCACTGTATCTACACGTATTGTCGAAAAAAAATTCGATACTCTGTACTATAGCTTCTTCTTACCCTCGGAAAAAAAGGAAAAGGGGACACAAACCCATAACGTTCGACTCCTAAAGCACGATTAAACTAATCCTTACTTATTTGTTCCATTTCACGTTCCTCAGTGCACGGGTCCTAACATATATATTTCGCAATTGCGTTGGGAATGGGTTTTTTTGCGGAAATTTGGCTGAGTTACGAATGTCGTATAAAAGAAAACAAAAAGACGTTCGTATACCATAGAGTGGAACGTGATAACTGACGACGCGTGAGATTAGACGTACGAGCGCAAAGGTTTGAATTTGATTTTCGCGAGCGTTAAATAAAATTGTGCTTTTCTTGCTTGACGTTTAAGGAAGTACCGATGACGAAGTGTATACCTTGCGCCATTTAGCGGCGGCACTCTTTCATAAAGGACCTTAATAAAAATCCCAATCTAAACAAGCTTAATTTACGTCCGCCACATAATTACCTACCCCGAGGCACGACTTCCCTCGTTCAACTCCCTCTCCCCCTCTGACGTTCGTCGCGAACCGCCTCGAGCTCGCTCTGCAGGAGAAAAGGCGGTGGGATGGGAACGAAGGAGGTGTGCACGTTGAGAACGTACTGAAAAATCTAAGAGGCTTAAAGCATTAAAAGGGTTATATAACATTCATTACCAGCGGGTCAGCCTTTGTGAAATTTCCCTTGGAAGCGCCTTCACTCGGCGGACACAACCTCTTCTCGCCCCCTTGATTTCTCTCCTACCAATTCTCTCCCCTGCGCCGAGTTGTCTCCTCTTCTTCTTGCGAGAGCGGCGCTCTCGCTCTTCGAGCATCCCTCGTCTCTGGGGGGTGCAGAAATGGTCACGTGACTCGCGCCATCGTCCGGCAGAAGGGGCGGCGGGACAGAAAGTGGCGGAGAAAGGAGAAGAGAGAAGGGTCTACTTCTCTGATGAAGATGTCGCACACGCCGGGGACCCCGACGAGATTACTCGGGTTAGAACCTGCGGACCCTGGTCAGAGCACATGCTAATTGCTTTATTTGACATCAAGAAATAATGTACTGCTGTTCTCCGGTATACGGTCGCCGTTGTGTGTGCGGGATAACCTCGCGAGAAAACCGGAGGTCCTTCGTCCTCGTCTCGCGCCCTTTCTCACTGTCGTTCCTTCGACCATTTCTATAAATTTTCAGCGCGCGCGCTCTCGCGAAATGAATTTCGAAAATTTGCGGGATCACACGCCTCTCGTCCGGCGCGACATTAATGTTTACACGCACACACGTTTGAAGATATGTGTGCGATAATCGCAATTAAGACGCAGATAAATCATATTCGCGCAAAATGATGTTTCATCTTTTCTATATAAGTTTCTGAAGAACGACAGCTTTATGCCGCGCCATGTGGAACGCAAAATACAGAATAGGCAATTTGTAAAGAACTTTATACTCTTATACTGTTGACGCCGTTACAAACTTGGTGGACCCAATTCCAAAAGAACTACGTGAGACGACTGGTTACGTTAGGAAGATCAACTAAGAAGCCGGACCTAACAATCCTTCGGCAAACCAATAAACGTTTTTCCGAGTTACATATGACGGAATTTGTATGCCAAATCGCGTATTGGAGATGGTGCCGTGCGTTTCGACGCGGGGCACGCGCCTCTCTCGTAAATATGCCTTCGGTTGGCAAAGTGCTATTGCGAGCGCTACAGCAGGAAAGAGAAAGAGAGAGAGAGAGAGAGAGAAACGGGAGCATACAGGGGCTTAGGGTGTTAGGGTCGGTTCTGGGGTCGCCAAGGGTGCATTTCATCTTCGGAGGCGTCAGCTCGGAGACCGATCGACTATACGGTCGACGTTGGATCATCCATCTTTTATCGAATCGGACCTGATGGCCAGACCATCACCATTGCGACTCACAACTTTTGCCTTTCCGAAGACTCCGTGTAGCACCTGAGCGTGTGCGTCCGCATATAAATAATGGACAGCGGAGTTTCGACGTGTTATACTGCAGCGGCTTGTCAAACTTTCCACTCACTTCGCGACGCGAATTATTTTCTCATTTATTAATCGAACACATCGCGCTCGACGAAAAAAAAAAACAAACAAACTATACTTTTAGAAAATAAAAAGATAAAAGTCTTAAACGGGGTCGGTCTCAAACGATAAAGGTCTTAAACGACGATCAGGTAAAGTTTTCGAAGATGTGATTGTGTTTGTACGAGCAATATATTTTGACCGCGTCGTAGTAGCGCATCTGCATTGGTGTACGCGCGATTTAATAGTGATCAATGTTCCGTGGATCGAGTCATCCATCTCTTGTCGAATGGAAATCCGACATTTGGTGCCAGAAGCCGTTACAGCCATCTCAACTTTCGTCTCCGGCTAGCGTCCATCATGTCACGACGGAATACGCTCTCCTAACCAAACATACATTAATATGCATATGTACGTAACCCGGCATCCGTGAAAAAGTTGAGTTTATGATTGATGTTCACGCCGTTCATTCGTAATAATACGTTCTTCTGCTGTATAGTCATTAATTATTCTGAATAAGTAGTAAAAGCTATTTGCTAGTGTCGTCTATGTAGTTACTAGAAATCTTGAACGTAAAAATCAAGTTTGTGTCGTCGTCACTTTCTCTTTCCAATTTTCAACATTCTCATTTTTTTTTTTTTTTTTTCGTCAACACGATTTGGTTTTTATATATACTTCCAACGCGGTTGGAACAATGAGACACGCGCGAGCCGCGAAAATAGCTTATGATGTAGAGGGACCGTTGCGGAGGACTTGCGGGCGACGCAGGGGCTATTTTTGCGGTTGGCACGGGAAATAATTTAGGGGACGGATAATACGCGTAGGTCGTGCAATTTGGCCGCGTCGCCGATGTCGACGTAGTGGTGACGGAAAGTGCGTGCTCGTTTTCCATACACTTTCTCGCGCGCGACGCAGGAGTAGAGCGCGCGCGGGGGTACCAGCGTGTAACCGAGAACGGGGGCTCAGGTGTTCCACCGGATAATAGGCGACATCATCCTTGCTTCCCCGATCCTTCCCGTCGTCGCATCGCGTCGTCAAACCTTGATCGATGTAATATTCACGCTCGATACACGTCCCAGCTTCTGTTACTTGTTATACGCTACCATACCTGCAAGTTTTCCCTCGAATCTCATCAGCGCCCTTTCATGTCTTCTCGATACCTTCGTTGTTGATAATACTATGACAGTAACGCGTCAGTCACGATCCTTACCATTCATCATATTAAATTGGTGAAATGCGTAGCGATACATAAATATAACAA